AGGTCTAGTTTTAATCTTTGGCAAGTTGAAACCCAATTTTTCCAGCACCTTTTTTTTGTTTTTTTTTGGTACCGGGCATTCAACTCGGGACCTTGTGCTTGAGAGGCAGGCAGTGGAACCACTGAGCTAAATCCCCAGCCCCAAAAATTCTTTTTCTATTACATTTCCAGAGAAAACCTCAGGTGTTCCCAATGAGGGCAAAGGTTTCCTTTGATGATTTTTTTGTGGTTCCTCTCCCAAAATACTTTCACTAGTGTCACTGCCAGTGGCTTCTTCACAGCTAATACTGCTCAAAACTCCCTGCCTTTCATCAAATTCAGCAGCACTGCTTTCACTGGTATAACTATAAACACTGTTCTCTGTGGTTGAAAACTTGAGAATTAATTTAGGAGGGTCATTCTCCATTCACAACATCAACAAAAACACTGTAAATTTCAGCAGGAGTTCTGATTGTACGCAACTCATAGACAAAATGACCACTGCCAGAGCTGTTCCTTCATTTACATTTGGCTTCGTCTTTCTTTTTTTGGTACTGGGGATCAAACATGGGTCCTTGCGCTTGCGCAGCAGGTGGCAAAAGCACTGAACTAAATCCCCGGCCCCGTCTTTCTCTTCACTGAATTTTAAAGTAGTATTTTTCCCAGTATTTATTCAAAACTTCTTAGGTTCAACAGTTTGAGAAAAGTATATTGTTGGTACAGAATTATCTCCAACCCCTTAAGCATCATGGTCATTTTTGGTGGTCACTACCACCACCACCATTGCTGCTGCTACCGCCAGTGCCACCACCATCTTCTTCTCCCCCCACCTTCTTTCTCCTTCTTCATCTTCATTACAGTGATAAGAATCTGAACCATTCACTGAACAGTTCAATTTACTATTCGCTTGACCACTGAATAGTTCTGAATTTACAACACCCTTAGGACAACTGTTGGAGTAAAGGAGTCTCTTACTTGATGCATCTCATTCATGTTTGTGTTTTGATCTCTTCAGAAAAGGTTGTATCTTCTCCATTTGTAATCACAGTATCAGGTTTACTGTCAAGTTCACCCAGTAATTCTTCTTGTCTCTAGTTCTTCAAGTTGAGCCCACAGTTCCTTATCAGTAAGAAAATCCTTGGATTTTACATCAGTGACAAAATCTTCAAAAGTATCTAAAGTTTTTGGTTTATGAGGTTTATGAGCAATTTATTGTTTTCCTCTAAATTCAAAGTCACTTTTAATTTCTTCTTATGTCACCAATATCACCTGCAGCATCACTCGGTTTTTGGAAATCTTTTTTTTTTTTTTGGTACTGGAGATCGAACTCGGGTCCTTGCACTTGCGCAGCAGGCAGTGCAAAACCACTGAGCTAAATCCCCAGCCCCTTGTTTTTGGAAATCTTCTGTGAATTCAACTCTGGGATTCAAAATTTTTCATCACTTTTTTTTGGTACCAGGGATTGAACTCTGGACCTTGCGTTTTCGAAGCAGGTGGCAGAACCACTGAGCTAAATCCTGGCCCCTATTGCTTTTCTTAGATCTTCTTGCGTTCCTCTCTGAGTCTCGCCACCTCCAGGATGTGCAGCGGTGCCTTGGCAGAAACTGAGGAATGGTGTTTGGGGCCGCGAGGTGGGGGGTGGGGGGGGAGCTGGAGGCCAAGGAGTCCTAAACAAGTGTTTATGGGAGTGGTGTGGTGGGGGCTCACTGCCGGCACCAAGGAGGCAGGCCTGCCTTAGAGGCCACTGCAGGGTCACTGTTCCCCTTCTGCCATTTTGATTGGGTTTATAATTAGGTTGTAATGGAAGTAGGGCATCAGCACAGTAGTAGAAATCCTGGCTTGGGTTTGTTTTGTTTTTGTTTTTGTTTTTTTCTAGTGTGGAAGATTGAAAGTTGGCTGTGAGTCTTGATTCTTAGGGTCCTGATAGCTAATTTCAATTACTTGTGAGAGTATTTTGTAGAAGAGGAATTAAAGGGCCAGGGATTTAGCTCAGTGGTTCCACCGCCTGCCTCACAAGCATCCCTAGTTTGATTCCCGGTACCAAAAAAAGAGAAAAAGAGAGAGAAGAGGAATTAAAGTTACCTTTGTAACACCAGGAGTGGGGCACTTAAGCTCACTGCTTTCTAACAATGAGGATTGTTGGTCAGGATGCCCACCACCTTGGGAGGTAATAAGTTATCATCACTGGACATAATCCTTTGATGGATCGCAAGCATGGATAATGTACTGATCTTCCTTTATTGCTCTCTCCCTTTTTTTGTGGTGCAGGGGATCAAACCCAAGGCCTCGTACAGACAGACTTTCTTCTTTTTTTTTTTTTAAGTGAACTTTTACATTTATTAAAGGTAGGAAAAGAAAAATGCTCTGCTGAGTGAAGGCCAATTAAAGGCAGGAAAAGAAGTATACTCTGCAGGATGACAGCAGACCACTGTGAAAGAGCGATAACAGCAGTTGAGAGCTTAATGGTGGCCATCTTTTGTATCCTCCACTCCTCAGGGAGACAAATCTAGGCCATCATATCAAAAACTTGCTTGAGTTTTCATGAGAGGAATTAAAGGTAGCATTCTTTGATTGGTCCCAGGTGAAGGGCTTTGTGAACTATTTTTCTGCACATTTCCTGGTCTCTGTTTTGACAGGTCACACCCATTGTTCAGCCACCTTGCTATGCTCTAATCTCCTACCTCATTTCTCCTTGAAACAAACCCCTATAATTCCTATAAGGGATGCTGAGGGTGTGGCAGTTTTATCTTCATATAGCTACTTCTAGCGGAAAGAGGCCTAGGCCCTACCTACTGAGGAATATGTTCTCTCTGACTACCTTGTGATACTGTGGCTCACCAGCTGAGTTGAAAAGAAAAACCTGTGAGAAGGTAATGAGAAAAAGTTAGTGGATGCCAGACTCACTTTTATTTTATTTTATTTTATTTTATTTTTTGGTACTGGGGATCTAACTCTGGTCCTTGCGCTTGCGCAACAGGCAGTGAAACCACTGAGCTAAATCCCTGGCCCCAGACTCACTTTTAAATACAATAACTCCCTGACTTATAAATGAGTTCTCTTCTGGGAGAATGTTCAAAAGTTGGATTTGTTCCTAAGTCCAACAAAGTGAGTCTTATATACCTTTGACACAAATATACAATGTAAAGCATTAAAAAAAAAAAACCAAACACAAAAAAATACTGTAAATAAACTTTTTACTTTTATAGTAACCTTAAAGTGGTGGTACAGGGTTAGGGTGAGCTACTTCTGCAATTTGTTCATATCTACAAATGTTGGTAACGTGAGGTCCATTGGTATCTGTGAAAGTTTGCAACTAAAATGTTAGGGACTTACTGTAGTAATTGTATGTAGTAGACTGGTATTTGTCTAAAATCAGGTTTTTTCTTTACATCATAGTTATTTTATCTGTGTTTCTAACAAGAGATTTTTCGGGTTGGTTCTATTCATGTAACCTTTTTTTAGTACTTTTTTTTTGGTACCAGGGATTGAACTGGGTCTTTGCGCTTGTGCAGCAGGCGGTGAAATCACTGAACTAAATCTCCAGCCCTCTTAGTACATTTTTAAAGTAATTTCTTTAGTTTTTTTTTTTCCCCCTTCTTCATTTCCCTTTTTCCTTTGGTACTGGGGATCGAACTCAGGACCTTGTGATTGCGAGGCAGGTACAGCACCACTAAGCTAAATCTCCGGCCCTCCTTTTTCCTTTTTTTGCTGAGCTACACCCCTGGCCCCTGTATGTATGTAGGTATGTATAGACAGGGTCTTGCTCTGCAGTTCAGGCTGGCCTTGAACTCATTATATACCCCAGGGTGGCCTCAGATTTGCTGCTATCATCCTGCCTCAGTCTCCTGAGTCCTGGGATTATAGCTGTTTACCACTGTGCCCATCCCCAGCCTCACCCCCCCCCCTTGAACTCAGCACCTTGCGCTTGCCAGGCAGGCGTGGCACCCCTGAGCCACATCCCCAGCCCTCTATCCTCATTTTAAAATTTTAATTCCTTTGAATTCTTTGTGTTATGAGCCATGTCATGATTTTGTCTGCTTGGCACATATCCATTATTTATGTGTGATGTGAGTGTTTATTCTTTACATATAAGCCACAGATACAGTTGCCCATAGGGAATCTCTGAGGTTGCCTGTAGTACTTTACTTCATTTTTCAGACTAGGGACAAGTTTCATTTTCACACAGAACCCAGTGTTATATTTCAGAATGGCCATGCCTATAATAACTTAGGGTATACTAAACATTTTTTGGCTTATCATTAAAATTTATAAATTCCTCTTAGAACTTCTTAAATGCCCTATGCACATTTGTAATCCCAGCTACTTGAGAGGCTGAGGTAAGAGGATTACAAGTTTGAGGCCAGCCTGCACAGTTTAGTGAGATCTTGTCTTAAAGTAAAAAAATAAAAGGGACTGGAGATGTAGCTTTGTGATGGAGTACTTGCCTAGCATTCCTGAGGCCCTAGGTTCAATCTCCAGTACTGCAAATAAAATAAAGAAGGCATAATTGTGACTTGTATTTGGGTTCTGTTTTTTTTTTTTAATAGGTTATTTATTTATTTATTTATTTATTTGGTACCGGGGATTGAACCGGGACCTTGCTCTTGTGAGGCAGGCGCCAGAACCACTGAGCTAAATCCCCAGCCCTGGGTTCTGTTTTAATAGTCATCATCTGTCCATTGTAATTTACTATTTTTTCCTTAGCTTGCCAAGAAATACCACCCTGACACGAATAAGGATGATCCCAAAGCTAAGGAGAAATTCTCCCAGCTGGCAGAAGCCTATGAGGTAATGTGATTGTTGTGCATGTGGTCACTGTCATTGAACTCTGGGTATGAATCAATGTTTACTTTGCTGCATAAAATGTCCTGACTTGTGACATGGTCCAGTGGGAAAGCAGTGTTCTTTCACCATAGCACCTTGTAAAAATAAATACAAGAAGGGTGGGAATTTAGCTCAGTGGCACTGTGCCTGCCTGGCAAGCACAAGGTCCTGAGTTCAGTCCCTGGTCCTGCAAATAAATAAATACATAAATACATAAATACAAGAGCATGCAGAGCTCTCCTGCTAACTTGGAATCTCAGTAAGGAAATGACTAGAATCCAATAGCCTATACTAATAAAGTTCCCATAATTTGTATTTGTAGCTGAATTTAGGAACTCCCCGTTGGATTAGTTAATTCAGCCCTTTTTCAGTGATTCTTCTGCTTAGAATGTTGCTATCTTGGGGATAGTGACTGTTTTGAAAGTAAAAGACCATCATTTCCCTGGAAGACATTAAAATGTGATCAGAAGACAAAGGATACACTTATGGAACAACACCCATTGACCATCCAGAATTGTTGGAAAGTTGACTTTGTCCCAGACTTTGACCATTCTGAAGGAGTTCTGAATATGTAGTAGTTTATAAATCCCTTGGAATAGATGGTTATATATAGAAACAGCCTCAACTCATAAGTACTTACTGAATAAATGTCTTTCTCCCTGTCAGCTACATCTAATATATATTAGAGTTTTCTAGATAAATAGAATACATACAAGATATCTTACTTGATTGGCTCATGTGATTGGGGACTGAGTAGTCTATAGTAGTTGCCTGCAGGAGGTAGAGCCAGGGAAACTGGCATCTGCTCAGTCCAAGAAGCCGGAAGCCTCAGAATGAGAGGCCAGTAGAGCAGCTCAGTCCATGGCTGAAGGCGTGAAAACTTCCTATAGAGTGGCTGATACACATTTATGTTCAAAGGCTGAGGAACGTGAGTCTGATGTCCACAGGTGACAGTAACAGAAAACGCACCTATTCAGGAAGGTTAAGTTCCAGGGACAGCTAGCTTCCCCCTTCTACTTTTTCATTCCATTCAGGCCACAGCCTATCATGTGGTGCCACCCATATTCAGGGAGGGCCTTCCCAACTCAGTTCACATACCTTCATACCAGTGTTCTCTGGAAACACCCTCACAGATACACTCACAGTGTGCTTCACCAATTTTCTAGGCATTCCTTAATCCAGTCAAGTTAACAACCAAAATCAACTATCACATAAGGAAAGTTGTGTTTGATAGCATAATTTCTAAATAATAGTAAAGTAACTTAAATTAGGTGATAACAAAACTAAAGAGTTTTAGAACCTGCTTCTGTTGAAAATAAGATTCAGCTATAAAGAACTGAAAAAAATCAGACCCCTCAAATTCAAAAAGTTTTTGAAAAATTTTTTTTGAAGTTTTGAAAAATTTTTTGAACCCCCTAGTTCAAAAATGGGCATCTGAAATGAACAGACATTTCTCAGACAAAGAAGTAAAAGCAGCAAATAAACATATGAAAAAGTGTTCAACATCAC